CTCCCCCCCACCCAGTTGCCCCCAGTTGTGTCATCTTTCCCTAGATTGGCATTCAGAAGAATAGCCCTGTTATTTGTCAGTCTGTCTGTCTCTCAGTGGCTGCATCCTTGTTTGCCTTCACAGAGCATAGAAAGACTGATGTAAAAAAAATTCTATTGGAATTATAGCTTACTTGATTCCCTGTGTGCATTTACCCTGAAGTAAGCTTACATTGCCCAATGAGGCTTAATTTGAAGCAGACACGCATGCAGTGTGCTCTTAGAATGGCGTGTTTCTGTCCTGTTGTGTATTTTTGTCCATTATTTCAATAGCCTGTGAACTTCTTTGACTCTTTCAAAGATATATTTGATACTACAGATGGCGTATATTTGGCCCATGTCAGTGTCTGTCTCTATCAGTCATGGGGGCAAGAAGAGAAAAACCAGGATATGCCACTTCCTCTTGTGCTGCTAAATATATCACATGATCTCAGTGTGGCTGTGGTTGTCAGCTGCTCCAATTGTGTTGCTGCTGTTGACCTCAACTTGTACTTCAGGTAGGTCGACTGAAATATTTGAAAGCTGGCAGGGAGCCTGTTTCTCAAAGGCTGCCTTGATTTTAGCATAATGTTTGTTTGTTTATTTAGATGATTTATACGGCTGCCCATCTCACACAAGTAACTCTGGACAGCTTCCAAGGATTAAAAGCATCAAAACCACAACATACTGTATAACCCCCGGTGCCCAAGGATATAACAATGACCCCGCTCACAAAACCCCCCCACATCAACAGCAGCAGAACTCACCTAACCTTCTGACCCAAATGCCTGGGGAAACATCCAGATCTTCAGTGCCTTACAAAAGGCTAATAGGATTGGGGCCAGCCGAATCTCTGGGGGGATGCTGAGAAGGCAGTGCTCCAACGAGGTGACACTCAGTTCGCCAATGCCTTCTCTGCTAGGTGGGGCAAGGAGAGTTGTTGCTAAGCTGACTTTGGCTCGGCTTTCCCTGATTTCCCTTTGAACTCTCCATTCCGTTCTGTAGTGAGTATGTGATGAACTGCAATGCTCAGTCCCCAACAAATGTGACTCCTCTTGAAACTCAGATAAG